CACTCTCACTCTCACTCTCACTCTCACTCTCACTCTCACTCTCACTCACTCACTCTCTCACACTCACACACACACTCACACTCTCACTCACACTCACGCTCACACACACACACTCACACTCTCACTCACACTCACACTCACACACACACACTCGCAGTCACACTCACAACGCCACCATCACCGCAATCTCCACCCTCATCACCACCATCACCTCTCTGGACACCAATGCGTCTAGATTTGTCGACTTTCTGCTGCTGTGGAGGAAGAAACCCTTCAGCGCTGAGAACAGTCCAAAGGTGCTTGCTTGCGCTGAAGGGTGAGTTTGGGTTTCATTGATTGGCTCCACAGTGATTGCCACCAAGCTCATTTTTCCTTTGTTAATGTGTCAATGTGAAGCCACCTAGCTGCCCAAGTTGAAGGCTCTAACCCGATAGCTGCTTGGCCCAAAGGTCTTACGCGCAAACGGCTCAGGTGTAAGACAAGACCATCTGGGGCAGGAAAGAGAAAAAGCAGCCAGGCAAGGAAAAGCTACAGGGCGATTGCAGCCAGACAGGGGCTGATCCCAAAGGCAAGAAAATAGCTTTTGCGTGTTTCTTCAAGACGCGATCAACCTTGAAGCAGGGGTTGAGTAAGGCGGACTTCCATGCCGAGATGAAAGAGATTGCCACGCAACCCTGTGGAGAAGGTGGAGGCAGGGTGCCAGGGTGGCCGGGTCTGCCTCATCAGGGTTTTCCTTCTCGGGCCAGAAAGTGGGCTTCGAAGACGAGGAATGGTCTTTCAAAGCCAGCTGGGAGGCGTACAAGCGGGTCATTTGCTCATGCTAAAGCAAATGCAGGCTCTGAAGGCCGGACTACACGGGGCTGCTCGCTGAACAGAGGCGTGGTCTTGGAGGTCAAATTCAAATCACAGTGTAAAAACATGTTAGAGTTTCAGGCTTTGCAGGGCTTTGCCAGATTGTCTCAGTCCACTATCCGGAAAGTCTGTGAAGAGATGAAGTGGACCATTAGTGCCAGTCCCACTGGGGCTGATGAGGACCATCATTTGGCAGTAGTCGGAATGCTTAACCTGGAAGTCGTTCAACGGATTTTGCACAGGCAAGAGACAGAGAAGCTCACCCTAGAGCTTCCTTTTCCTTTCCTTTGTCACGTAAGGCCTTCGCAGTTGCTTGTGCCTTTGGTGTGACATTTGGAGCTTGGTGTGGCACCAACTCGAGCGCCCTGTGTCAGCTACCATGTGAAAACACGGAAGCGAGCGCGACCCTTTTCTGAATCCCGCTTGAGCCAATTGGACGGCACGGTGACAAAGCAGTCCAAGTCACTCGAGAAGATCACGACGCTTCTTGAAAAGCTGAACGGGTCGATGGAAGCTTTGGTCGAAGTGGAGCGTCGCAAATCATCTCTGGTAGCCCAGATGAGGGGTGGCTCTGCGCCGGGCACTGGAGGAGGATCGACCAGTACCCCAGCTCCTGGACCAACTCCTGGACCAGCCAGTGGACCCGCAGTTTCGACTCCTTCGACTGCGGCGCAAGCAATGGCAGCTGGAATCCCGCAAGCGACATTGGGTACGGGTGTGGTTTTTACCCCCCAAACTCCGAATGTACAGCCCAAGCTTATGCCCACGAATCTTACGCCTCCGATGCCCTTGGGCTTTCCTCCGGCTCCGGCCTTCACGGGTCAGAACTATGGACCACCTCCGGCGCCAGCAGCGGGGTACACCAACACCCTATGACCCCAGGGACCTCCGCCTGATCCCATGAGGAAGAGTGACTTGGCGTATGATCGTTGGAGAGCTGTTTGTGGGTACGTTGAAGCTTTTACACGTCTTTCTACTCTTTTCTTTTTTTTGCTTTTCCTACTCTTTCCTTTCCTTTCCTTTCCTTTCCTTTTTGCTTTCCCTTTTGGAGGGGTATCTAATTTTCGAATAATTTGTTCATGCCTTTTCTGTGTTTGTCTTGCCTGTCCTTGCTTCTCACTGCTTCTTTGCTCTTCTGTGCTTGTTGCGTTGCTTTTCCTTTCTTCTCACTGCTTCTCTGCTTTTCCTGGTTTTCTGTGCTTGTGTTGCCTTTCCTTGCTTTTCATCGCTTCCTTGTGAATCCTCTTTCTTTCCTTGCTTTTGTTGCTTTTTGTCCCTTCTTTCTTGCTTGGTTGTTTTTCCTGCGGTTTTTCGTGGTTGTTTTTCCCTTTTCATCTTTTCCAAAAAAGCATCTCCGATGCTTGGGTTCTCGTTGAGCGAAACAAAGCAAGCATTGTCGTGGACGGAAGATGGGCGTGGACGGGGACTGTGGATGGACAGGGAGGGGCGCGATACGGGAGGTGGATGGAAGGAAAGGGGCGCAAGACGGAGGCGCGTGGGTGTGGACGGGGCTGGGGAGGCAGACGAATGGCGGTTGTGCCAGTGGTGCCAGGTCATATACATCAACTACGCCTTGCAGGCGGCACCAAGACATACACCCAAAACCGGGACCCCGCAGCGAACAACGCTTTTTGGGGGGCCGGAACAACAACAAAGGCGATGAATTGCCGCGCCCCGGTCCTTAACATCGTTTTTTCGGCGTCTAACGTCGCATCCAATTTCAAAAAGGAAAACGATTGACAGGCACCTCTCCCCACATATGCCTTCAAACGCCTCGAGGAAGCATCGCGCCACCCTCGCGCCGTTCCAGGTATCCTCCTGGCTCGACTTCCGCAGCCACCGCTCCACCACCCCCTCACGTACCAAAACTGGCTTGCTCCGGCTCCTAACGTCGTTTTTTTCCGGTGACTAACGTCGCAAAGAAAAACGATTGACAGGCACCTCTCCCCACACATGCCTTCAAACGCTTCGGAAAAGCATCGCGCCACCCTCTCGCGCTCCAAAAATGCCTTCCAAACCTCACGTCGTGGGCAAAACAAAAGAAGCGCGACTATAACAACCACTTCTCCCCACGGACTGCCACGAGCTCCACTAACGTCAAACGACTAGCAGGCAGTGCGCTTCAGCAACTGCCGGTGGGGCCCGGCTTGACAACCCCCTCGTAACCGGGGGCCGCGGCTTGGGACACCGCGCCCGCATCCACACTCGTGCCTGGCGCACGAGTGTGGGGGCAGGCTGTCCTGACCTTGTTCGACGCCGCGTCCACACGTCGAGCCATGCAGGTCCAAAGCCGGGAGAGAGAGCCGGTGCGTGCTTTATCTGCCGAAAAACCAAACGACCAGCAGTGCAATGGCTGACCCCTGGGTCTTTATTTAAAGGGGCCAGTGCCTTGTGTACCCAAATGCAAACCACCGAGCGATACTATGAAAACTTGCGACTGCTCTCTAAACAACGACCGCAACAGTTCTCATGAGATCAAGGTCATCGCAACAACAGGCCTACTCACAACTGTTGAGATGCGTAGCTTGTCTGATTACGTGCAGTGCAATTGCTGATCCCTTGGTGCTGCACCAGAGGGCCAGTGCCTTGTGCACCCAAATGCAAACCAGCAAGCAAGACTTTTAAAAATTGCGCGACTGTTCAATAGCCAATTTCTGATAACGTGCAGTGCAATTGCTGATAACTTGGTCCTGAACCAGAGGGCCAATGCCTTGTGTACCCAAATGCAAACCCCAAGATTATGAAAACTTGCGACTGCTCTATAAACAATCACTGCAGCAGTTCTATGAAGACTTGCAACTGCTCTATAAACAATCGCCGCAACTGTTCTCATGAGACCATGTTCATCGCAACAACCGCCCTGCTCACAACTGTTGAGATGCTTTGCTTGTCTGAGTTCGTGTTGCAAATGCGTTCTTGCAACCACCCAGTCTTGCCGGAGTTTTTTTTCCCTTATTCTCTAACGCGCTCCCCCTTGCGTCGGCCGGGGTCGGCGGATACCCCTTAACCTTAAAAAATTAATTAGACACCCCTTATGGGGCCCGGTATATTCTGATTCCGGCCCTTCAAAACACGGGCGTCGCCGGCCTCCGCCGTTTCCATCGGAAGCTCGCCGACCGGCAGGTCTGCAAGCTGCCCCCGGACGCGACGACGGGCGCGAAGCTCCCGGACGCGCCGCGTCGGTCGGGACGCGAAGCTGTCGGCGACGGGGCGGAAGCAGATGCTGCGACGGAGGATTCCGGGGAAGAGGGAGGGGGCCGATGAGGACAGGAGGGGTTTCGGGGTCCGTAGGGGGCTTCCATAGAATCGGGAACGTGCCTTAGCCCTGGCATGGCGATCATGTCGATCACGAAGGGGACCAGACCCAATGTGTAGAAGGAAAAGAGTTCGCCTAGGCCAGAGGTTGATCACAAGTAGACCAACCGAAGCTGACACTTCCTGAAAGAATTGCCACCTGTTTGGTATGAGGATTTCATGGTCATCCGTTTTCTTAGGGGCCATGCCATGTAGCCATGATAGTTTCAACGAGTGTAGATCCCCCATGAAGTTTGGGGTTGTCACCCCCGCTGCCGCCCAAATCGCTACAGGAGCCACCAACTTCAGCCCCTGCCCGCACCTGGATTCAGTGGCTGCTGGATCGGAAAATGGGCTTTGCTATCGGTGCATGTTCGTTTCGGCTTTGCTTTTGGGATCCAGCCATCTCGGGCGACCGCAACCCGGAGGGACCGTCCGGTGAAAAACCACTGGTGTCACCGAGGTGAAGGGTTCTTCCTTTTCGGGTGACCTAAAGACCTTGTGGTTTAAATGGTTTGTTCGACTCCAAGACTTGGATAAGACGAATTTAGACATGACAAGGAGTCCACAAGACTCCCAGACTGTACATTTACTTCTTGCTGGAAAGTGTTGGTGCACCAGTTCACACCGATTCACACCTTGCTAAGGCTCAAGACTCAAGATAGACTTTTGATCAAAAAACAACGCGTTTGTTATGTAGTATGAAGAGTTGTTGTATTCAATAACGGGGGAGTGTTGCTACCAAGACTATGATTGTTCCTGCTGTTCGCTGGTGTTTGGTGGGTGAAAGCTCATTCACAAGAGTCAGATAGCAGAGCCCCCATTTTGGCCTACACCCTATCACCATGTGTAGTTTGGCTTCGTGTGTTGGATTTGCAAGACCTGAGATGTCTGATGTTGTGTGGATCATGTGACAAGTGACGAACACGACCATGGCTCCGGTATAGGGTCGCTTCACTGCTTTTCGGTTCCTGCTTTTCGGTCCCTATTTTTTGGCAGAGCGCAATTGAAGAGTGAATGACCAATTTGCAGAGCATTGAGGACCCAATGAGAGGACCCATTGAGGACCCATTGAGGACCCATTGAGGACCCATTGGTAGGTATTCCATACGTGGAGTACTTTGATGTACCTTTGGTTTATTCGACCCCATGAGAGTGCCAAACCGTCCCGACTCTCTCTCACGTGGGACTAAGGGACGAATGTGACCTCATTCTGGGATTTCATATTGACATTTTATTCCCAGATTGACATGTTTGAGGCGCAGAGAACATAATCGTTCTTGGACAATTGGGCGGGGGAGCAACTTTCTGGACTTGGGCCTAATCGCACACTGGATAACTTGCGATGACTCTCCACGACTTCCCCTTGCATCGGCTTGCTTCTGCGCTGCCCAAGGCTCACTGGGACTTCTGCCCCGGCGCCTCCCTCCCCTCCGCCGCCCAAACCGCCGCTTCCCAGTGGCCGCCAAATGATGCCAAGCAAGCAGGCGCAACGTCGCGCAGTGCTTACCAGAGCTCTGTGGAGGTATGTGGTAGTGACCGTGTTTTCGTCACGGTCGGCTTTTCGGGGAGGGGTTTGGTGGCGATTGACAAGGGACATCATGGGACATGAGATATAACTTTCTTGTTCTGGCTTTTGGGACGGCTATGAGAGGCTAGCACCAGATGCTGGGCTGCTTTATGCCTGATCTTCCCAAAGATCTTTGTGACTTCACGTCTGTCAAAGTGTTCGTGTGACTGTGGTGATCCCTAGCTTGTCCGTAATTGTAAATGGGAGCCATCAGATTGCATGTGGGAGCTCAACTCGGAAACATGGTCATCGAATCCAAGGGGCCTTCTATGGCACTTCCATGCACTTCCATTATGCTTTTGATGGCCCCTTCACGAAGTGAATCACCTGGCACCCTAAGAATCCTTGGTCTCTCCATGGCAGGGGTCTGGGATGCTTGTTTGTACATGTCTTTGTTTTATGCTTGTTTGTAGTTTCTTCAGCTTTGACTGCTGGGACCTTTGAACCGTTCCTTGCCCAAAAGCCAGTTGCTTGTGAGAGACCCGAGCATTCAAGAATCAGAATCTCACCCTTCTGCCAACTCATACGTACCAGTCTATCGAACGTGTTTTGATGGCCCCTTCACGAAGTGAATCACCTGGCAGGGAGGGGAAACATGAATCACCTGGCACCCTAAGAATCCTTGGGCTCTCCGTGGCAGGGGTCGGACCCTCCATAGCAGGGGTTTGGGCCCTCAAAACCCTATCTGTTTGAGGGCTCGGATTCTTGGGGCAGTGTTGTGTTTGTTCCCCGCGAAGAGATGCTTCTTCCCGGTTCCTGGAAGATCCTCCAGTCGTGCTTGCCAGCCAGACAGCCATTACCCCCCAGTCGATGCGCGCGCACCACCTGCCGGATGAACCCGCCAGGACCCAGTGCCCGATGAACCGCCGCAGAGGCGACGGGTTTGCTTTGGTCCACGACGCACGCGGGCGCGTCTCGGGCGACAGCGAAGGTCGAAGGTGCTGGTCACCAGTCCGAACCAGTCAAGGTGCTGCACCCGAGGTCTGGGCCCTGGCGCGAACCTGTCGTCGTACTTCATGAATGGTATTTGAACCCAAAGCGATCCAAGCGAGCTTATTTGAACGCCCACTTGCGGGGAAGGAACGTTCCGAGCCCAAAATGGTTGGTCTTGGAGCCCAATGCGGGGTCACCGGTAGGTGTGGAGTCACCGGTAGGTGTCTGGTGGAAAACAGACCACGGAATTCCTGGAATCATCCATATGGAAGTGGAGAGCCTGGCCCCTGGAAAGACCAATATACATCCTGTATAGAAACAGGTGGTGAACTCCACTTCCATGATTGTTCCATAGTATATTTACTGTTTGATCTTCTTTGATGTTGGGGCTCTGGACCTTTTCGAAGGTCAGTCCTTGATGGGTCTTTGACGGACCCATCATTTCTGTGAACCAACGTCCTGGATGGTCCTGGCATGCCTCGTTCTTCTTTTCCATAGCAGGTCAGTCAACAAATTATTTGTTCGATTTCTTATTGTTTTGGAAACTTGAGCCGTCGAAAGGGGATTAGGCCATATGATGCCCTTTTTTCAGCCGCTTTGACTTCCAGTGCCCCAACATGATTGCGTCGCTCACGTGGGGCGTTTTTTCTCCGTGGAAAAGACTCGATTGGCCTCCTGGAGGTCCATCGAGGAAGGCTTCGAATGCTCCAACAAGCATCAGTATGCTCCAACAAGCTCGAGTCGATTTCAGAGAAATGCTCCAAACACATTTCGATGGACCGATGATTGTCCATCACCACAGCGACCGAGCCGTTTCGGACCGCACCGCTGACCGGGGGTGAGGAAAGAGTATCGAACAGATGGTGTGATACTTTCAAGCTGCTTCCGTTCGGGGTTACCAATGGACAACCTTACACTGCTTATAGGTCACCAGACAGGACACCCAGACAGGAAGCGCCAGGTTGATGTGTTTCTGGGTATTTTCGACATGATCGGCAGTGCACCTCCGATGGATTTCTACGAAGAATCTCTTTGATGTGCTCGTAGCCTTTTGATTGACCTTTTGACGGACGAAGTAGCATACTGGCAGGGATGAGTGAACCAAACGCTATAATGAGGTATAAACGCTAAATTAATAACCACCTCAGTTGGATTGTAAAGCATGTTCACATGGGGGGGTTTTATGAATCAAGAGTGTACATTACGTCAAAAAATGCAGCATGCTGTCACGAAACCCTTTTTTTCACAATCCTAAGTCACTCCCCAAAGCAATGTCCAACTAGAACACGAAGGATCAACAGAGTGTTAAGTTTTACTGTGAGTGTATTTGCTTGAACTAACCAAAAGAAGGCGATGCCTCCCCTCCAAGATGAAGTCTAAAGTTCTCCAAAACTGTGAGTTTTACTGCGCCCCAAAGCATGCACTGGCGTGAGACAAGAAGTTTTGCCACACTTGGTCACAACCTGGTTGGCATAACAATTTCTCCAACAAAGTCCTATTTTCTGTGTGGGTGACCACTCCCCGGTCCAAACCCTCTCAATCGGCTGAAGGCCTTTGCCCAGTTGGCCAGAGCTGCGTCAGCTTCTTGAACCGGCGCCGCGGCCGAGATGGACTCGACGGGCGACAGCGGCGGACGCGCCCTTCGTCACCTCGTCGTCGTTCCGCGGACTTTCTGCAGCATGCTGTACACATCGAGAACATGGCCCCAGATGTGCCAGATGGGTTGGTAACAAGTGCCTTACTAGTAGTAACAAGAAGCTACTATTTTTTGTTTAATTCTAATAGCTTCTTGTTACTACTAGTAAGGCACCTGTTACTACTAGCGATGCACTTGTCACGAAAGCTAGCCTTAGCTAGCTGGAGTTGCTCTTGCTTTAGCAAGTTAAGTGACGGGGTGGACGCACCTCAGAAACTTCAAATAATTGATTAAATCAATCTTATGGACCCCCCCCCCCCCGCGGTTCGACTCCCCCCTGCGCGCGGTGAGCGGGACCACCAAGCAGCTGCAGCACACCAAGCATCTGCAGCGCCCAGCGCAGCAGCGGCAGCAGCAGCAGCAGCATACCCAACGCCGCGGCAGCAGCAGCCGCAGCAGACCACCCAGCGCCAGCAGCAGCAGCAGACGACCCGGCGCCTGCAGAGCACCCAGCGCAGCAGCGCCCAGCGCAGCAGCGGCAGCAGCAGCACCAGCAGCAGCAGCACCAGCAGCAGACCACCGGAAGCCCGGCTAGCTTTCGTTCACCCCCTCTGGCCTCAAGTTACTAGTTAGAACTGGAACCATGTGGGGATCCCAGGTCCCATATGTCCCCAGGTCGATGATTCGCTGAAACAGCCAGTTCAGCAGATCGGTACAGTTGGCGTGGGGAGACGTGGGGAGGCTTCTGGCTCGGTCGATGTTTCGTTTTTGGTGTCTTGGGGAAAGATGGAGGGAGTGTGCTGCAATTCTGAGAGGGGAGAACCGTGCACCAAAGGTCTGTAAGATCTGATTGATGATGCAGAAAGGGACGTTAGCACTCTTCTCCAACCAGTAGTACCATGTAGTACCTGGCGAAATAAATGTCACCCACCGATTCCCTTTTCGAGGAACAAATGCGGTAGTGCCGTTTGGTTGGTGTAGCACTTTGACCAACGCCTCTCGTTGGACACTCTTGATAAGCGCTCACAAGTCCAAAGACCCAGTAAAACCTAGTCTTTGACCTCCTTGCACATGAGTAGTGTTTTGTATGACCAACTCCAGTAAAATGAGGTCATTGACCTGTAGGATCCTCTATAGGATAGTATAGAATTGGACTTCAAACTCCGTGGCGACTGCTCCAGCCGCTCACGCGTGGTCAAAGCGCTTTCTCTCGAACCAATTTTAGGACTGGACAGTTCTCGGCCAAATTCCCAAACCACGAAACGTGTGAGTTCCCAGAGTTCCACCGGGCCACGTCACAAGGTTTTTGGTATGAGTATGAGATGAACAGATGAACTCACCAAGCTAGCCCAACATAATTGGGTTGATTTAGTGGTCTGCCCAGACGCTCCAAACAGCCCTTGGGTCCCTCAAAACTCTAGGGTTTGGTTCGGGTCCAGACCCCTCCAAACGATTCGGGTCCGACCCCTGCACAGTATTCGGGTCGCGTCTGGGTGGATGGGATCTCACCTGAGGAGATGAACGCTGCTGGTATTGCCTGGGAGGATGTCGATGATCATCTTTGGAATGACTCTCGGCAAGTGGGATGGCCACACACATGGTGTATTTTCCGACTTCGGGCGGTACGCAACACACTGGCAGTGCGCAGGAAGTACATCCTCCTACCCAGGAAGTATGTGGATCATGCGCAAAAGCTTTTTTGGGGGGGAAATTGGCTTCAACCACTAAAGAAGAAGATGAACAAAGGGGTAATGAAGCCAATGCTTCATTACAAAAGCCAGCCTTCGTAGAAGGCGCCAGCTGAGTTGTCCTTGGCGAACGAAGTGAGTAGGTAGGGGGTCTGGGGGGGGGGTGGCCCGAGAAAGGTATACGTAAACTCGTCACATGCTCGGGGAGGAGGGTGCACGGATGGAAGGTTTTGGAGGTTGTTTTGGATCATGTTTTGGTGATTTTGGAGCGGGTGGTGATGCAAGAAATGCATTTTTTGCTTTTGCATCATCTGAATGTGGATGGTTTCTCAAGAGTGCTATACTGCTATACCATGCAACTGAATTGTAGTTACCTTGGGTCCGTATAAATGCTATTGTGCTATACTTCCAACACACCTATATAAGTTCAAAGCACTAATGAGACTGGAGAGGGAACTTGAAGTGCAACATCACTGGATCATTGGATATTCGATGGCAATCCCGTCTTTCTGTGTAAACTATCCTGTGTAAACTATCCTTTTGCTGGGCAAGAGATTGCGACTCCCTGAAAGAATCATGATGACTGTACATGGACAAGAGGACCCTCCTAAAAAGATCCATTTCCGTCACAACAAGGTCGATGTTTGGATGGAGTTTCAGTGCTTTTCCTATTTGCATGGACCGTCTTTTCCGCTGCCCTGGGTCCGCGCGCGCGCGCGCGTGCGCTCCCTCCTCTACGGTAGAGTGGGCGCCAACAAGGCGCGCCGGGACCCAGGGTGTTACTGCAAGGAGTCGCCACCCCGACAGAGTTGACAAAATCGCCGTTCCTGACGTCCCTCGTTGGGGGCCAGTTTTTAAAGGTATACGTAAACTCGGCACATGCTGGGTACGAAAGCCAGCCTTCGTAGAAGGCGCCAGCTGAGTTGTGTTTGGCGAACGAAGTGAGTAAGTCGGGGGTCTGGGGGGGGGTGGCCCGAGAAAGTACTACGTAAACTCGAAATTAGGTAGGGGAGAGGGGTGCGCGGAAGTAAGGTTTTTGAGGTTAAGTTTTTGTGATTTTTGAGGGGGTGGTGACGCAAGAAATGCAATTTGCATCATTTGCATCATCTGAATGGTAAGGTGTAGCTGGCGCCTTGCCAGGTATAGATACCCACGGTAGCTACAATTCAGTTACCAGGTATAGTACTTCAAGCTCCCTTTCCGTCAACCGCTCGATAACCTTTACACACGCATTTCTGCACTCACCATTGTCAAAGGCCATGGCCTCCGCTTCAAGTGACACTGATGTGCACCGCCTAGGACTCAAAAGGTTTATATCTTCATCTGCTCTTGCCGGGCTGTGCGCAGATCTAGGCGTTGAAGGTGCACCGCCTAGGACTCAAAAGGTTTATATCTTCATCTGCTCTTGCCGGGCTGTGTGCAGATCTAGGCGTTGAAGGCACAAGTCGGTTCACAATCAAGAGGAAGCGGCATGCAGATCTTACAGAGACAACTCCATATGGCAACATCCTGGTGGAGAGGGCCATTGCAGGAACTAAGATTTGGATGGTGCACCCGATCGCCTTCTTGTGGCGCGCGGCGAATTCATGCCAAGAGTTCAGCAGGTTCTTAAGGGTTGCTGGAGCGCAGAGCGTGCACTCATTCTGATCCGTTGCGTTGCATCGTGTACAGCGATGAAGTCACGCCCGGCAATCAGCTGCGCCATCAGAACGCCAGGAAAATTCAAGTTGTATACTGGTCCCTGGCAGACTTTGGCTTGCAGAGGTTGTCCAACGAGCGTGTCTGGTTCATGTTGGGGGTGTGTCGCAGTGATCTTGTCAAGCAGCTGCCCGGAAAAATGTCAGAACTCATGAAGGTATGCCGCACCTTGTTCCTGGAGCCGCACGATGCGCGCGGTGGCTTTGTTCTCAGTTTTGCAGACGGTACAAAGACCACCGTGTTTGCTCGCCCATGCTTTTTGCTGGGTGACGAGGCGGCCCTCAAGGACGCGGTCGATTGCAAGGGCGCTGCGGGAACGTTCATGTGTCCCTTGTGTGCCAACGTTTGCGATGTGAAGTCCGGATTGCACTTGCATGACAGCAGAGGCTACCTAGTTCCTTCTTCGTGCCTCGACGTGCGTGCATTCCGTGGAAACACGGATGCAAGTGCTCGAGCTGCGGTGGAGGAACTGCTGCGGTCGAGAGCGTGGCAGCTGGCACGAGGGCGCTCCTTGTGTAACGAATGGAACTGCTGCAAATTTTGTCATCGCAGCAATCGGCTTAACAGCCGCCGGGAGATTGATGACGCCCGGGGCAGGCTGGCCGAGCTGCTGGACATTCCTCCTGGGAGGAAGGAACTTTTGCGCTGACGATTTTTGGAGATTCGTGGGTGGGCGTGGGAGAAAAGAAAAGAAATCTCCCACTATGGTTCCATCCGACGCTTCAGCCTTGTTGATCATATGTTTTCTTTTATTGTGCTTGGTAGTTCTCCAAAGCAGTTTGGTAAAACTCAATTTGGCTGGGCCGTCGGGTCATGTTTGTTTCTTTTACTTGTAGCTTTTGTTGCTTCTTGGCTGGTAGCCCTTTGTTGCATTGTTTTGCACCCTTTACTCTTCCCTGGCTGGGTTTCCTTTGCTTGGCTCTCTTGCTGCTTCTTGCCTTGGAGTGACCCTTCAACTCAGGCCACCCGGATGACCATAGCATAGAGCACGATTGTGGCAATAAGCTTTACGCTGCAGTCTGCAGACTTTTATGCCCTGAGATCGTACTGCAAGGAATGAACAACGAATCGAATCTCGGGGACGTGGTGGAGTCTTTATTGGCATTAGACCACCGTGAACGTTACCACCTGCGGGGCTGGGTTCCCCACGAAGGGGTTGGTGACTTCGTGGCCATGCTTTGCTTAGCGCTGGAGCGCTTCCGCTTTGTTACGCGGACACATGGCTTTTCTGCAGACATTTGGTGCTGGGCCGACTTAGAACCATACTACTTGCAAGCAATTGCAGACGACGAAGCCATCGGTTCTTCAAAGGCACGTAGATTGAAAAAGCTTAAGGCAAGGCCCAAAGTTCAGCGCGCATAAATTTGGTGCGCTAACCTATAAGCAAAGCATCCCTCAGAACAAAATCATTTCACCAACAGAAATTATTTTTACAAAAAAACAGACATCAAAACATAGAAAATGTTCCGGAATCTATGTAGTAAGCGGCCTCCGTCATACTTACGAAGTAGGTTTGGGCATACTTAGTAAGTATGCCCGGCGTACTTACTAAGTAGGCCGCGGCTTACTTACTAAGTAGGCCGGCGGCCTAGTTATTTGGTATACTTATGCGAAATGATAAGTGTGCCGTAACTGACTCGTGACATGATATATATAAGTCCTCCTAAGTATGCCAAGTACATGGCCTACAAAATATCTACTTAGCAAAACTAGAAGTACTTAACAAAGTGGGCCAACTACTTGTCTGAGATATAACTTAGTTACTTGAGTTAACAACTTGAGTTGCGGCACTTATATATGTACCCCAACCACGCCAAGTACTTAACAACCAGGCCGAACATCCAAGTATCTATACTTGGTGTGGCCTGAGAAAGCACACTCGAAAGTAGGTGGTGTGTAGGGGTGCACGGAAGCAAGGTTTTGGAGGTGTTGTTTTGTGATTTTAAGATATGCAACTGTCTTCGGTTGCTTGGAGTGCTATACTTGGCAACTGAATTGTAGCTACCCTGGGTATACCTGGCAACTGCCTTGTAGCTGGGGCCCTGCATCTTTGAGACCGGTCCAAGTGCCAGCGGCTGCAAGGGACCGCTCATCCCGTTCAGCCCAGCCAGTGCACAGAACAGCCAGGCCTGCACCTGCCAGCGTTCTGAAAAGCCCGGCTCTTGGACCTGAGATAAGCTCTCGACCAGCATGAAAGCTCCTGTCGGCGGTTGTCGAGAACCTGACCAAGATCGACAGCGGCATTCAAAGTTTGGTGCAGAGTGCGACCTCAGCAGAGACTGGAAGCGGCAATACGCCGGTGACACCGGCGAAGTCTGCCTTTCCCCCACCTCCTCCTGGATTCAGCGCACCACCGTCCACTGGGGGACCACAGGTGCTTCCCAAGTTGATGCCGGTTCAGCCAGTTCCTACCATGCCACCAACCTATCCGCCGCCACCAGGACTAGCAGGACAGCCTGTGCAGGTACCTCCCGGGGGACCTTCTTTGCCGGGCGGATCCAGTGGAGCTGCTGTTTTGAGTGGCCCTGGCGCGCGCGCCCCTAAATCTACGCGTACGCGCGAACCCAGGGTAGGGAAATTGAAGTGCGATACCTAGCAACAGAATTGTAGCTACCCTGGGTCCGTATACTTGCTATGTTCCTATACCTCTTACACACCTATATAAGTTCAAAGCACGAATGAGACTTCAAAGCTGTGGATTGCTGTGCATGTGTAAAGGTTATCGAGCGGTTGACGGAAAGGGAACTTGAAGTACTATACCTGGTAACTGAATTGTAGCTACGGTGGAAGACAAAGACGCTGGAACTAACGAGGTTAGGAGACCGCGCAGAAATCACACCTTTTGGCCATTTTAAAATAGATTAAACCAGTTGTGATCAACTGTCTTGTATAGCTGTTCGTAACACCTTTAAAGGTGTCTATCACACCTTTCTTTGTTCGCGACTGTTTTGACCTGAAGAACACATAGATACCTATAGTTGATCCGATCCATCGGACTCACTGACCACACAAAGGTATTATATGATCAAAACACATCAAGACACATCTTGACACAAAACCCATGTTTAAATGAAATCACCAACCCTACACCGCATTTCCTTTGACACAATCATACAATATTGAAACGCACCACGTATACACTGTACAATCCCTTCAGCGGTCCGAAAAAAAAGAACGGCGGCCATGCACCTGTCCGGTCTCAGACGGTTTGATCGAAGACGACGATGCGGAGGACGCGGCCAAGGACGAGAAGCAAACCAGTTTTGGGAGCGATACTCCTGCTCTTGGGTGCTGCTTTCGTGAGGAGCGGCGTTCTGATATCGATATCGGACTTGGATTCCTGGTATACCAGAAGGCCATGGCCTCAGTGAATTTGACTCAGCAAATCCGGACTCAGCAACAGAGATTTGAGTCTGGATTTGGGTCTGGATCCAGCCCACCCTAGCCTAGCCCCCCAGAAAGCAGCAGGTGATTCAACACCAAACTCAAGCTGGAACCCTGAGTATCTATACCTGGCAAGGCGCCAGCTGAGTAAGAAGAGGGTTTCGGGGGGGTGGCCTGAGAAAGCACACTCGAAAGTAGGTGGTGTGTAGGGGTGCACGGAAGCACGCTGTGTGCGATGCTGCATGCTGCCTTTGGCCAACAACGTGCTCGTGGACAAAAAACGCTGGCTTTCGTTTTGCAGCTTCTCAGGTGTTCCAAGGAAACTCTGGGAGTCAGTCATGGCCCATACCTTGATACCTTGCGAAAGATGTGTGAAACTGGGGCGACAGACAGGTCTGTCTTCAAGTCCACGGCAAGCAGGTTTGGGTCGACTGCGTCGGTGAATCCATATACATCGGATTCATTCTCTTTGTTTAACTCGTTCTCGTTCCAAACTTCAGTGAACTAATTACGTAGTACACAACTCAAGGAACAAAGGAACTCAAATTCGACATGATCTCGTCAAGCAGTTTTTCATCTCACCCTTTTTCCTGGCACTGGCACGTCTGAGTGCATCACGTCGAATCCGTTTTCAAGGAGCTACTGTCGGTGGGAGAGCTGAGGCCGGGGCAGGATGCAGATCTCGTGAAAGTGAGTTCGTATTGAAAATAGGGACACCCACTGGCCTCGGTTCTGCCTCTTCCAGGGTGTATTTCACTACGGGGTCCTAAGGAGAAACGGATGGAACAACGAATGAAAAAACATGGTGTGCTTTGGAGGAAGCAAAGGAGCTATTGGCCCTTATTGGCCAAAAAAGAAAGGGAAGCAGGAAACTCATCTACCGGTGCTAGTTGCACCGGATGCAAAAGCACCCAAAACGTCATCGGAACACATCGGATTTCACTGACACGTCACCTGAAATGAACATGGTTATATAACTGGAGTGAGTTCACCACCTGTTTTCTCATCGGACTTCATGGTCGTCTTAGGGGACCTCAGGGAGTGTCATCCAAGTTCTTCGTGGTTCTTCCCCTTCCCTTTGATACCTCCCAGCATGATGGTAGCCGCCTTCCGTTCTTTTCCAATCGTTGATGTTTCTCATCCAACGCCGCCCTCGGGTCTCCAGCGGAGCGAAACGAGCTCGGAGCGAAGTCCAACGAGCTCGGGAGCTCCGGTGTTTCTCTCAGGAACCTCCGGGTGGTGCGAGGTGAAGGAGGCCAAGCAGGTTCCCGGAGGTGTGCCACCTGTCTAAGTCTTCCGGGAATGACCATTAAATGGTGACCCGGGTTTCTTAGTGTGTGAAGTTTGTTCGGTAAAGATTCAAGACCGTTAAATTCCGTTAAATGCATAGAGGTTGGAAGCCTAGGGTACACACACGTGGCAGTTAAATTTGCAGATCAAAGTAATGACAGCAACGCTGCCAGAGATGAGACAAATGGGACCAGAGAATGGTTACATAACCCCCATGAATGTCTGACCCATGTGCTTGTAACTGGCCCAGTCTCATTGATGGTCTGGGACTGATTCATCGGATTCATGTTCTCAGTTCTCAGCCGATGCTTTTTTCATTTTTCCCCTGCGAGGCGTGCGGTTCAGAGACCAAAGGAGTTTCCAGGCGCGCGCGGTCTCGCTGTGATTCCTGCGGCCTGTGAGACCATTGAGGGTCATTGAATGCTGTTTGAGCTATTTGCGTTGGACATGAGTGGTCTCATGTGGTTTCCAATTTTGCTTGAGTGGTGGTCCTTTCGCTTGAATGGTCAGTTGTTTAGCTGTTTCGTGTTGTTCCTACTATGTGGTTCTATGTGCAATGATAGTCGGTTTGGGTTCAAGGAATAATTCAGGCACTGTGCTGGATGCCAATCCCAGGTTCCCTGCGATCCAATCTAAGCTCTTTGTTGCTACAAGATGGCATAAGACTTCGCGATCGCCCTGTGAGCCGGACGCTCTTTGGGTGTAGCAGCCCAAAATACAGAAAGACTTGTCTAGCCACTCTTCAAGCTAGTTGGTTCTCCCCACATATCAAGGTCAAACACACCACGTGTTTGTTGAAAGCAGGCCAGCTTTCAATCCATACCACCTTGGATTTGTTTACTTGATGAGCTGTTTACTTGTTGACTAAACGCTTTGCTTTGATGAGCTTTGTTTTGTTCGTTCTACGGGTCGCTCCTCAGAAGCGAGCACGAAATTCCAATCCACGGCTGATTGGTCCATCGAATTGACCTTCTTCAAAAGGACAGCATCTCCACAAGTGACAGCGATCTCTTCCAACAGGTCTCCAAGAAGGTCTCCAGTTTGAGTTTGAGTTTGAGTTGGGTCTCCAAGACCTCTTCCAATAGGTTTGAGTTTTCTCACTGGAAGTTGCTCCGCATCCTACGAGAGCTTCAGAGCACTGTTGCTGGTTGCTGTGCAAACCTTGGTCTCCAATGACCTCCCTCCGTTTCGGTTCGATTTGGTGGGTGGCTGCCAGGGGGGTCTAGCAGGGTCTAACCACCTGAGGAGATGGGACAGTAGCCCGTCTGGGGATGTTCACTCCTCCCGTCTTCCCAACTCCTTTTACGTTCGACCAACGTCGAGGTCCACCACAACCTTCAAAGTGACCGAACTCGAGATCCTGAGGTCACAAACAAGCCTGTCACGAACTGAATGTCCTGGCACTTGCTTTTTGTGGGTGGTTTGAGAAGGGGTCAAGGCAAAGACTCTCAATGAAAGCATGAAGTCTTTGAGCCTCAAGTTCCTACACAGGTTACAGTTCTGAGACTGAACTTTTATAGATAGACCCACTGAACAACTCTCAGCTAATAAAGTTTCTCAGTTTAACACTGAACTTGGAGTGCTTGACCCACTGGGCTCTCTCCGCCGTTTTCACCGCACGCAGACCGCCTCGCACAACTCTCCGCCACGTCCTCGGCCGACCACGTGAGTGCCATTTGGCCGGGGGATGGGGCTGCATGAAACCCGAAAGCAAGAGTGAACATTGAAGGTGTCCCATGGGTGAACAGCGGTTTACAAGGTGTAGAAGTTGTATGAAGACTTCTCCAGATTGGGGTGAACTCAACTCGCCTGATGGAAAAAGCCGACAGTCGTTTGGTTTTCAGCCCAGAAATCGCTTCCAAGTCACAGTGATATAATTGGGTCACAATTCAGGATTCCAGTCAGCATCGTTTATAGAATGATTTGGACTAAACAACAACAAACATGTTGCTATGTGGCGAGAAAACCATGAGTAACGACATCCCCAGGAACGATGGTCACCAGCGTTTTCAACGACGCACACCGTCGTTCATCCCAACGAGCTCCAGCTCCTACCTTCGCGAACGAGAAAACATCTCCAGTCCCACCGGCAGTTGGAGCCCGAATGTAGACTCATTGATATGTTGAACTCCCAAATCCAAGTTAAGTGAGAGGTTTTAGCCTAATAGCAATCCATGTTTTGGAGCTGCTTTAATAAGTTAACCCATGGCACTACCTGCGGCGCCAGCCGGTGTAGCCGGTGTCCACCACACGGTTTGAGCGTCCGAGCTCCATCATGGGGCCTATGAACCGGAGTTCCGGCGGCGGTGGTTGTTAGACCCATCCAGTGAGTGAATGGGTCATGTCCAACACGAACGGCACCGGCGCTGGAACTGCGGGTTGATCATATCGGGATCATCCAGAGAAGGAGACCCTTTAGGTGGTCCTGAATCCAAACGCGTGCTAAGACGACCGATTCCAGTGGGTCAAAGACGCCAGATACTCTGCCAGCATACAACTCCGGACCCCCGTCCTGGACGCTGTGGACCGAGGCGCGTGTTTCCAACGAGGACACGGTGAAGATCGAGGACGACCGGGCCGTCTCGGCGGCTTTTTTGGGGATGGATGGAACCGGGGTCAATTGGAAAGCTCTAATGCAGGACCACCCGAAAGGATCTAGTTGTTTTTTGTATAATAGGTACTAGTTGTTTTTTGTATATAATAGCTACTAGTAGCTTCTTGTTACGTTCGTAGCCATGGCCTCCAACCTAATAGCGATGGCCTCCACCTAGTAGCTTCTAGCTACTATCTTCAGGGGGGTCTATGAACCACCCTTTGGGTGGTGCTGGGGTGAATTCTAGTCGCTTTGGACAGTCTTTTTCAGCTGTCAGCTTTTAATCAGCTTCTTCTTAAATAGTCCTTTTGAAGTGGGTGTTCACGCTTCACATTTCATGGTTGTGGGTGAGCACCACAAAATTCTTCACGCGGATGACGAGAGGCCGCAAGGCCTCCCAGAAAGACCAACCTCTTGAACCTCCCAGGATGCCGCAACGGAGAGTGGCACTCCTTCCCTATAGATCCACATACCTTCTCAGGTACGGCGATTGGAGACTATTTATGTAGGCTTTGAGGGCCCAAGTACCTTCTGAGAAGGTATGTGGGTCCCTGGGGCTTCCATCTCCTTCCCTTCTCAGATTTGGTCTTGGAGATCTCTTTCAAGGTGGCTTGACATCATCCTTCCCACGGGAATCCTGCTGTCATCAGGCTTGCCTCCGCATGTTCTTCACACCCACCTCCCGCAGGCTCTGTTGTCGCCATCGAAGCGGAAGAAGGCCGGGCTCGGCTCGGGCTCCGCTCTTCCCATCGATGTGCTCGGCTGTGCTCGACACACGGCGGGGTCACATCAGGTGCACTGGCACTCCAAGTGGTGATTGATATGATATGACGTATACCAGGGGCCCCACAAACCATCCAAAACCTGGTTTTCCCTAGCAAAAAACATGGTTTTTGTATTTGATGAGTGATATGATGTATAGAGTACCTGGAACCCAGACATGACCTCTGTTTAAGGTAGGAAGAGACCATAGACCATATTTTGGGTGGTTGGTGGTCCAAAATAGAGGTCAGAACCAGGTTCTAGGTACATATAATATACAATATACCAGGGCCCCTGGTTTGGGGTGGTTAATGGACATCCCGAATCACCTCTAAGGAGCTATGATTAGATACCCCTGAGGGGGGCCCAGATAAGACTCCCAAGACATGCCGAAAGAAATATGAAACATGTCCCCTGGCCAGGTGTTTGGTGGAAGAATCGCAATGGGGCTGGACATTTTTCATAATCGAGGTGCTGGAGGAAGCTCGAAACACCACTATGGAGCCTTACAGACCATGTGTATGCAAAAGGTGATATTGTATGTTCCTGAATTGTCTTTTCCCGGTTCCATGTCTTTTCCCGGTTCCAGAGCAAATCCAAAAAATTACATCAACATTGCATCCTTTTGTAGAATAGAAGGCCTTAGCCACATGCTTCATCTTAAACAGGTCGGCACAGCTGTGGCCAGTTGCATCGCCGAGATCTGGACCCCCCCCGATGTGGACAAGCTTGAACCGGTGGACAAGCTTGACCAGAAGGGACTCAGGGACTCCTTCAAGCGGTGAGCGATATGATGTAAAAGCGGCAGGACCATGGGCTCCATGCTGCATGCATTCTGCATGCATGCTGCATGCAGGCTGCATGCAGGCGTACAAGAAAACCATGAGGGCTTGACACTCAAAAACAGGGATCCCAAAAACCTGGACCCGACTTCAATGACCCGAGACAATGGGACATGTGACATGACCTGGGACATGAAGCCCTAGGGATCCACTGCCACCTTCTCAGAAGGTACTTGGACCCTCCAAGTCTACATAAAAGAGTCTCCAAACACCACTGCAGAGGGTATATGGATCCACGAGGAAGAGGTCACGAAAGCTAGCCTCAGCTAGCTGGAGTCGCTCTTGCTCTAGCAAGTTTGACAGGGTGGATGCAGCCTCACAGGCCTCAAATCCTTGAATTATTCCGGGGTTATGGACCTCCCCCCTCCAAGAAACCCGTTCTCAGTTCCCAACATGGCCGCTGCCTTGTAAGACGAGAGTCTTTCCTATTTGGTTGTCCTCAGTGGGACAACAAGACAGTGCAGATGTTTTAACAGAACAAGGAAGGGAGGAATTTTTGAGATGATCTCTGTCTCTCGTTGCACCCGAATCAGAATTGGCTGTCAGCAGGAGGACAAAGACACAAGCAAGCAAAGGAGGTAGCTAGTAATCAAACATGCAAGGAAAGATGCAAAGAAACATGTGTTATAGAAACACGCACGCTCAATAGACTTAATAAACAGAACAAGGAAGGCAGGATTTGTTGATAACCGAGATCTTGGAAGGCAAGTATTTTTGGAGATGATCTTTGTCTCTCGTGGACCCTCGTGGACCATTCCAACACCACCTTAACATTTACACTTCAGACACTTGAAAAGCAACAGTACTCTTTTCAGGCTACCCACCCAACCTCCAAAACTCCTTCCTGGAGTACAACTACATCCTGCCCACGGGCCCTTTTCCAATCGCATAGATCTCGGCCGCTTCTCGACCGCTAAGCCTCGTCGAAGCGGGAACGACCAAAAGCAGTGACGTTTTGACCTGATCCTTTGCTCCTGCTTAGAACCCACAATCCCAGACACTCCATGGGACTGGCATATTTACCGATCAGTTGGGGTAGTTTTGGGGGTCCATGTAGGCATATATGGCATACATGGAGTGTCTGGGAATTATAGATGATGCCAAGTTCCAAGGTACATCCTTTGGACCTGCAGAGGGTATGTGGATCCATGAGGAAGAGACCTGGAGTACTGTTTGACAGTTTTCACATTCACAGTACTTGGCCTTGGAGAGACAATGGCGTAAAACCCAGTGGTTGGTGGGCCTACCTGTGACAAAATGCTACAGCCAAATAAGGGAGAAGACACTTGTTCTTTGGAATTCAGCCACAGGGAGTTACCGCGCAGGCAAATCAGTAGTTTTGCCATGGCTACTAGGGTGGAGGCCATCGCTACTAGCCAGGGTGGAGTTACCGCCCAGGCAAACAAGTAGTTTTGCCTTCATGTTGCAGGCACAGCCACAGACGCCGCCACAGACGCTGCCGCCGCCGCGAGTTCCGCTGCCACCTCAGGAGTGCACTCCACCTGAAAATGGCCAGTGCAGCAAGTAACGATTTACCTTTCTAACCACTCATATATGTAACTATGTATGTGTATCATATACATATGTTTTGAACATCCGCCTTTGGAAGTTACACCCTTGCGGTCATGAAGATGATGTGTTATTCGCTCTTCGTCGCCAAGAAGCAAATCTCTAGACACTCCATGGGACTGGTATATTTACCGATCAGTTGGGGTGGTTTTGGGGTCAATGTAGGCATATCTGGCATACATGGAGTGTCTGGGGAATGGAAAGGCGTTGTTTGCCGGTTATGGAATTTGACTTTGTGGGAGTCTTAGTCATTGATTAGCCTTACTTGTAGCTCGTCAAGGACGTCACCAAGCAGTTTTGGTCATTCAGTTCCGCTAATTCAAGACCAAAAACCATTGGACAATTCTATAGTGTTTTGTTCCTGGGGTTACAAAGCGCAACTATTGTGAAGCGCAACTATTGTGACAAGTGGGAACTGCCATCTAGAACTTCCCCTCAAAAGCAAGGTGGATGGTGGATGTGTTGAGACAAGTGATGTTTGTACATCTCATGCGATTGTGTTTAGGTGAACCGTGCTTTCTGTCAACTTCCTTGGGACTGTCAAAGGCTCCCACTACGTCAAACACAAACATGATTGTTGGCAGGGCTGCTTTCTATATACAGCAATTACTTGGGGAAAGATAAGAATAAGAACAACATCATTGACAAACAACCATAATAGCTAAAGAAGGCCAAGGAAGCTCTCTTTAAAGGATTAAACAGTATAGTCCCTATAGACACTACAACAGCACACCTCCCGCCCAAATCTCCCTGCACCAGAGGATTCTGCGCCCACGTCTGCGGTACCTGCCGCGCCTGCACGCTTGCCACCGAAGCAGGTCCCACAGGCTGGGTCGGAAGGTTTTGGGTTTAGGGTTCTTGCCGTTGCAAATCGCCGACTTGGAGATGGACCCTGGCGGGAGAGGCAAACTGGTAGTTGCATACAGCCCCGTGTCTTGAGGTGCATACCCACACCTGGCTTGGACCCTCCCTCGCCACATGATGCCACACCTGATAACACCCAAGTGCCTTCTGTTTGTCGCTTGAGTTAAGAAACGGAACAATTGGTCAGGACCCAGACCCTTGAACATACCATGGGGCTTGTCCCCTCACGGGCAATGATTCTTCGACGGCCGTTTGAGGATGGAAATTGCAGGCAATCAATATTAGCCCGACGAACGAGACTTGATCCATTCTATCCTCATCTAGCATGTTTGCATGTGGCATCTCACCCAGCCGTGTCGTGTCTTTTTCTTGGAGGAGCCTGAGATCACTGCAGGCGCTGCCGAGCGCAGTTGGTGGGAGAAGTTAAGGGTGTGGGACATGGGTGACCAAATCGATTTCCGCAATCGATTCCCATGTGGCTGCCGGTCAAAACGGAGTACCTTGGTTGACCTACCTGGGAGGTCAATCTACATGGTGGACCAGGGCTGCTTGTTTTGACCCATCCCGATATTATATTCCCATCAATGTGTTGTCCATGTTACTCAAGTAGTTTGAGAGATGTAGGCGCCTTGAAGCCAAGATCCTGCTCCAAATCACTGGCCAAATTAGATCAAATAGACCTAGCACCAAGGACTCACTGTGAGCTTGAATAGACACACATCCAATCAAATTTAATCCGAAGAATTTCACTTACAATTCGTCAATCATGCCCCACCTTGTATCCCATAATATATCCATATTATATATATATATCCACCTTACAATTTCTAGTGCCTACAGATCATAATCAACTGCCTACTACCATAAGTTCACATGTTATTTGTTCAATCGTGTTAACAATATTGAGGCACCCACCAGCCCGTCGAAGGTGCCGGGTCTTGACCGATCCACTCCTTCCAGACTCAATTGGACGCTGCAGGGCTCGTTGAATGGCCAAGGACGTTTTTCCCTGGGATGTACGGACAGTTTTGCAGGATGTTAGGACAGTGACAGTGACCAGGAATCCAGGAATCAAGATGCTGCAAGCAGCAGTCACTGGACCAGCCAAGCTTGAATTGGGCAAAGAAAGATGTAGACTAGAGAACTCCCATCAGCCAGGTTTGGCAAGATCCTATAATATGTGTACATTGTACACCGAAACAGAAAAACTGCGGGTGTTTGGCTTTTTGAGCAAAAGCACGTTTTGCAAGTTTTGGAGCGACTTAGAGGAAGACGACGCGGTGCAACGTATTTTGGATGCAGCAAATGCCATGCAATATGGGAACCCTTGACCAGAGCAGTTCTCACCGATAAGCAGCAGTTCCACAACATGGAGAACGACTTGTGCACAACAATGGGGAGCTTGCGCAGCTTTTCCATCACCAGAATGATGGGAAGGTCTGAGGTCATGAATTGCGAATGCGGGAGAAGCCCATCAGCCCTTTTCCTTGCCTTGCGCACAGCTTCAGCCAACAGCAGACATGTTGCATTGAGTTGGTCCCGCCTGTGAAACCAGCCTGAGGAATACCAACTCAAACAGATCAGATGCCGCAGATGGGTCATGAAAATTTCGCATGCTTCGCTTCGCATCTCCGCTTGAAGGAATCCACGAAGCTTGTTAAAGCTGGAAAGGATTGGACCAAGCCCCTCCTAGGAGTGATTGAATGCAAGTAACATCAAGTAAGGCCTTGTTTCTCCAGGCCATTTACATTAACTGAGCCAGATGACCCAAGTGGCCCAAGTGGCAAAGAAGTGCCGTTTTTTTTTTCTGGGTGACACAGACTATACCGTATAGTGCAAGCAACCGAGTTGTTTAAACAAGGTCCCAAGGATCATCTGTACCAGCACTGAAATAGACCACTGTCTGATCCTGCGCTTCCGACCTGTGGCCCAGGTGGAGTTGCGGATCCTCTCGCGAAACCAGTCTGGACGTGCCCTGTCTGGACGAACGGTGCTTGGACGAACGGTGAGCTGGCTAACTGGAAGAACCACCATCTCCACAACCAGCTAGGCGACGGTCTGCCTAGAAGAATTGTCGATGAAAGAGTCGGATTGGGAGTCTCAGATGAGGTTTAAAGTGGATGGCATGGCCATTGGAAGTCCATGTTCCTTTTTCGATGTCTTTTTAACCCACCGGGTCATCCGGGTGGGTGTGATTTTCTGGCGACTCTGGAAGGCCACGGGAAGGCCACGGAAAGACAATGAGCCCGGTTCAAAGTGTTGGTTTCCTTTTAAAAACTCCTTTTATAGATGTCCACACAAAGGATTGCACGAGCCTGCGGATGTGAATTGGTCTGGTTCTGTGGGCCAGACTAATGAAGAAGGACAGGTGAGAGACATCCTGGATCGGAGAAGCGAACATGATAAACACGCAACGTGTTACGTAACGTGGGTGTTCGGTTTGTTTTGAAGAAGGGTGCATTTTCGCGTTTCGCGCCAATGAGTAACCCATGGCTGGTCATCTCACAAACCTGGCTGCATCTGAGTGGATTTGAGGGGGTGGTGATTGCACGATCGAGATAGCCCAGATGACTCTTTGTTGCATGCCGAAGAACGCACCGAAAAAGTGGTCCACCTCTCAGAATGATGTGACTACCCTTGTTTACCCTGGACCCTTTGGTGGTTCTACACATGGATGTGTCGACCCAGAGACACCCCTCCCTTTGACAACATCAAAGGAAGCCGAACTCGTGGACCTCTTCGGAAAATGGGACGGCGAAGCCTCCAGTGGCTTCTCTCGACTTCGAAGCTTCACCCATGAAAAGCACCTCTGACGAACGACGTCCCATGGAAGTCGAGTAAAGTTCACCAGAAATGCTCGGAGCAAGGAAAGGAAAGTCTGTACAGAAGCATTGTGGGAACCCAAACATGTGATGTGTTCGTCAGAGTGTAGCAACTCAGATTTACCGAGTTCGGTAACAAAGTCATGTATGGTCATGTCATACCTGGCATTTTTCCTTAATGATTATTCCGGCTGGCTATGGCTGGCTCATTGTTCTTTTTGCATGTAAAAAAACAGGTTAAACAAATTTGAACAATGCTTATATAGTTGGGAATAAGGGAACTTCGTTGAATCGAGCCATATCATATCGAACCCCACGAGCGCATGGCGCCAGCCGTTGAAATCGGAGGCCACAAGATGATTCTGCGCCAGCGCCAGAGGAAGGGAGTTGCGGAGCCATTGAGGATAGAGGTTTCATCGGAGTTGGGGGTGTCCCAACAACCTGGAAAGAATAAACAGTCGACTGAAGCATACTGAAGCCATTGGTTTTGTTTTGGAGGGATCTCAGGATTCTAAGATACACCCAAGTTCATCTGAACATGTTGGCCCATAGGACTAAGTAGTGGTTTTCCTTTTTTTCCTGGAGATGTGTGGACAGATGCAGAAGGTTTACTCCAGCTGTGATAGGTACGTTGGTACGGACATCATTGGAAGACAACTGACTCCATTCTGTCATGAGCTGTTGCGAAGGCTTTCTTTGTTGGTGAATGAAGGAGATGTGGTGTTACTTGGGGAAAGGGGAAGGCTAGGAAGATCTAGGAAGTCTTATAAGCCTATATTTTTAATCCTGCAGTACAGATTGAATATCCAGACATCAAGAGTTGTCACAAGGGTGACAGAACGACTGCAAAGAATCCTCATCAAGTAGATCGAATGTGGCATCTTGCAAACAATGGCTTCAGTATGCTCAGTATAACAGGTTCCCTCTTCGGACACTCTACGGGTCGTATGGAAGCCATCGTTTGTGGATCTAAGGGGTTCCCTCTTCGGATTTTGCAACACTGGAATCTTGTGCAGCAAGAGGATTGTGGGAATCGCCTGTATACGTTGTGATGTTCGCCTGCATCAATTTCCGTGCGTCCAAAAGCGCAGTGAACAGGATCTTGAGCAGAAGCCCAAGAAGAAAAAGAAGGACAAGAGCAAGAAGGCATGGTTGGTCATTGGTTCATTGAGGTTTTTGATTTTCATGGTGGTCGTATGTGGCCGTTTGATTTCGCATGGATGGTGGTCATTTTGTTGGCCTTTGTTGTTGCAGGGGAAGAAGGAAGAAGACGGCTGCCATGTCTCTTGAGTTGCAGTGGAACCTTGAAGGCCTCCTGTCCGATATTGACAACTTGGTGACCGCGGATTCAGGCACAAAAAAACATAAGTTGATGATAACAAGAAAAAGGAATAGCTCACATCAGGTCAGATTCACAGTGGAGCACGCTTATTATTGAGTTCAAAATCTGTTGGGTTTGGACCATGCTTGTTGAGTTCAAAATCTGTTGGATTGCTACTTGACTGTTCACCAGAAGAGGGTCAAGGGTCACTGGATCAAGGTCTTCAAGAAGCAGTTGCAGCAAACTCTCAGTGTTTGTTTCCCAATGGCCAAACTGGAGAACCTGAATCATGTTTAGCGTGTAAGACTGAAGACTTCCTTTCAACATCGTTGCAGATTTGCAGGCGCAGCATTTTTGTTGACCTCTGCAACGGCACCGCTGCAACGACGGAGTCGCCCGCGGTGGCAGCGGCGGTGCCGTCGCCGGATGGCCCCGCACCGTGAAGCGGAATGGCCAACCTGTCTAGCGGGACATGTTCGGCTTCATCAGCCGGGGGGTCAAAGAGGCCGGTTCTGGCGTTCTTTGCGTGGGGTTCCGTGAACCACACGAACCTCGGGGCGGGTCGGCCGCTTGGTTGGATCTTCGTATCGACTCAGCTGATGCCGCGAGGGAAGGATGTACAAATGTATCAGCAGCCTTGTGCTTTGTGGCTAAAATGCTGTTTTTCTCCAAAATTTCATGCACCCAAGACAAGGACATGAGGCTGTGTAATTGGCCTCAATGCGAGGTGTATGATTGGCCTCAAATCATGAGCTGCTGAGCCAAGGAAATTCTGGCTAATGAGCGCTGAAAAAGTGGATGGAAAAGGAAACCAGTGCATGCCCCCCACCTGGATTGTCCAAGCATCACACAAAACGCAGAAGTGGCTATTTCCTTGCCACGGGTATATTCATGTGATCTACTGGACCACATATAACCACATACACATTGTGTGGCTTTCATGTGTGACCTAGCTACTATATATTATCCCTATGGATCCACATACCTTCTGAGAAGGTGATTGGAGACTATTTATGTACAGTAGGCTTGGAGGGTCCAATTACCTTCTGAGAAGGTATGTGGATCCATAGGGTATATATTACTTTATATGATTACTGTAAAAGTATGTACCACACTTGCGAGTCACCTCGGGGTCTGAATTCCCCACCTCGGCAACTTCCGGCGGCACTGGCTGAAGGTGTTTGGGGGTGGGTTTAGAGGGTCCAAGTATGTCCAAATACCTTCTGAGGAGGTACTTGGAGCCCTAGGGATACATACCCATATGTTCTTGGATCTCTCGGGGAGACCCTCCCTGAAACATTGGAGCTGAGCAAGCCTTCTTTGGTATAGAGGAACATCGCTTGCCCCCCGCAAAGGCCGCATGTTCCGCCTCGATTGTTTCAGGGAGGATATGAGTTCATCCCCTTACCTTTGGACTCCCTGCTTCCGCCTCTTAGGATTTCAGCCATGATATCTCATTCATGTTTATTTGAATAGACAGAGCGTCCCGCTGGCCCAAAAGCTGGAATTTTACCGCAAACCCAGCTGGGCTCCAGTCGCTGAAGGTGGGACTGGGTTGGGGTCTCAGAGGTCCAATCAGCTTCTGAGGAAGTATGACTGGAGCCCCAGGGACTGCCCGAAAGCTCGAATCGAAGCAGACGTGACGGTGGCCCCTTGGGGGCTACGTGCAGGCAGTTGTGAAAAACCATTTGGCCTCGTAGTACTGCTGGGTCTTCCAAATACCGGAAGGCCACTGAGGACAACTGAGGGCACTGTTGAGACCATGGTGGTGGTTCAAACCTCGCAGTAAGAATCCCAATTGAAACACTTCATCCTGGCTCAAAAGACCAGAGTCAGACCACCGGTGTTGGTCCCATGGGTGCAAACCCTATAGATTTAATGAGGATTTGAGATATGGCAATGGCAATCATGAAACCGCTCGTTGGCGGTTTCATCTCTTTGTTCATGAAACCGCTCGTGCGCCGCACTGTGTGCCTCATCCCGATGGCGAGCAGCTCTCCCCACCCACGAGTCGGTGCTTAACTCGTCACATAGCGTTGGTCTCACATGGTCTCACATGGTCTCACATTCCCCTTTCGATCCACTGCCACCGAACCTGAGGTATGGTGATTGGAGACTATGTATGTAGGCGCCAGGAGGGTCCAAGGACGCCTTCTGAGAAGGTGGCAGTGGATCCATAGGGATTCATCACCAAACTACTCTCAGCCAGTCCTGAAACCGCCTGTTCCGCTCCCCAAAACGGGTATGCCATGCAGAAGCCAACGACCAGAAGATACCCGAAAAGCGGCCCGGGATTTCCGGTCGGATCCGGTGGCTCACGGAAAAGGCTCCAGGTGCTCCAGTTCTTCTGGTGCTGCAGGTTCTTCCGTTCCTCCGTTCTTTCGTCAGCCGAGGGGGTCACCAGAAACCGGGTTTCTGGGTTCGCCCGGTGCGTTTCTTCCTCAAGAACTCGCGAGAACTCGCGAGAACATCGGTGGGGCGAGCGAGACACAGAAACGATGCCCTTGGGATTGGAATATCCAACACTCTCCAGGAGAGGTGGGGTGGGTCGTTTGGGGGACCGAAAACCTGTGATGGGTGGAGGGGCTCTTCCTGAATCTTGCTGCTTGCTTTTGCGGTTCTCGGTTCCTGGGTAAATCTCCAGCCTGGGGAATTTGTTTATTTTTTCCTCATATTTGTTGTTTCCTGGACAGCAAATGCAAGTCATTGAGTGTGTTATTTTTGCAGCACACCTGCTGGAGTGTTTCCTTTGTGACAGTTCCTTTGTTTGATGACGACTGTTGGGGAAGTGGACGCTGCCGCAAAATGCTTTTCAGGCGGATGTTGCTAGTACCTGTTCTAAAGCAATCTAAAACATGTATGTTGTTTAATTGAAATCTTGGAAACTAGCAGAAGAGAACCTGTGAGGACTCAGACGGACCCAAGACTTGTCATGTAGCTTTGCTACTCGCAGTCGCAGTGGGTGTTTGAAGAGTTCCAGCGCGCCTGCTGGACAACCAAAAGGGGTACGATCATTGGCAGATTCTCCTCTATCCTTCAGGTGGTTAAACTCATTTCAGTGAACCATTGTTAGAAGAATGCAGTAAAGAGTCATTCCAGATCATGTTTACTGACCCTGGAAATACGCATCAAAGGTGTTTGAATGTATCGACTGGACAGGACACATCAGTCGGAGCTCCAAACCCGCCTTTTTGGTCGAAGCACGGGGCGTACAGCATGGGACCCACATTTCAGCTTCTTGTTAGTAGTAGCGATGCCCTTTGCTCCTAGTAGCGTCCTTGTTCCTAGTAGCGATGCCAGGAGCCCCTAGTAGCGTCCTTGTTCCTAGAAGTAAGGCACTTGTTCCTAGTAGCGATGCCAGGAGAGCCCCGTGTTCTTCGCATCCGATCGCTCCGATGCCGTTCGTCGCCCGTCACGCGATGCCCTTTGTGACGTTCGTAGCCGCTCGGGATCGGTCCAGCTGCCTATTCGGTCCACTTGAAACGTACCGTGAATGTATTTAGGTCTTCACCCACCAACGTCCAGCTGCTTTCAAACAATGAACATCGCATTGTTTGTGTATACGAGCTAGTTTTCTAAACAGACATGACAAAACAGCATATAATATATATATTTCATACCATGGGAGTGGTTGCGGGAACATACCTTCCACGACCCGCGATGCGGTACACGGCAACCGACCGACGACCGCAGGAGTAGCCCGTGCATTGTCGCTGCGCATAGCCCGGTGACTCAGTGGGGCACCGGGCGCACCGGGCTGGGCAAGCATGCGAAGGAGCGAACGAAGGAGCTTAACATAATGAGATAGGAGAATTCCGACGTGCTTTTCCAAGTCAGTGACTGAAGTCACTTCATTGATCTGAACAGACCGTTTTCATGAGTCAGAAGATTGACACATCATGACACAGATATATACTGTACGGTACGTATATGTATATATGGATTCTGAAAGTAATTTGACTACATGCAGTTGGTCCAGCGAAAAGGGATGGTCCAGAGATGTCCCAAAAGCATCGGCCACGACAAGCTACATGCCAGGTGTCCTGAGGTAGCATAAAAAGGCACCCGGTGTATGAGAACGTCACCGGATTTGGGCCAAATGGCCGGTCTTCAGTCCTCAGTCGTTGAAAGAAACAGTGAAGGGCAACTGATCCTATACCAAGTGCCGGGGCCCTTGGATGGTCCTAGTAGATGTGGGATGATGTGGGTGTGTCTCAAGTATCTGGACAATCAGTTCTGCCCACCTCTGCTATGATGGACGATCTGATCTTCCGGCTTTTCAGAGGGGTTTGACGGCTTCATCCTGTTCTATCACCCATCGAACTACCGAATGAATCAGTCACGGACCCCTCCAGGTGGGCGGACTGCGCTCCCTGCGCTCCCCGGTCCCTATCGGCCGCGAATGTTCGGAAGTCGAACCCCCCCCCGAGATCTGCGGCAGTACAGCTTAGAGTCATGAGCTCAGAAGCGGGGGAACAGGAGGAGCGAACGGAGCACGGCAGCCTGAAGTGGGGGTGAATTGGGAGCCAATGGGTTGAAGAGCTGTTACAGCACAAGGTTGGCTCGGGCCATCCATGGGCTTTCCTCCTACCCAACAGGGGGTGAACTCCACTTCCAACATAGTTCCTGGGAGAGTTATTGTAAACAAACAACCTCCGAGTTGGTGTCGTGTGGGCCATGGTGGGCCATGGTTGCTGGTGGATCCTGACCTCAACCGATTTCAGGTTTGTGCCCCTAAGCCGATTGGAAAGTGCAAGTGGAGCATGTTTGCAAGCAATTGGTTTTGTTTCTGAGTGTGGCCTCAAAGCAAGTAATTAGAAGGGAAATATAGATGAATGATGATGATGATGATGACGACGACGATGACGACGACGACGACGACGACGATGATGATGATGATGAATGCCCAATCGTTGCAGAATTGGTCAGAAACTGAGATGTTTGAGACTTACAAACATCACCCATCATCACCCTATCTCAAGTCTTGTTGGGGACTTGCGCAGAATGCCATTCTGAACCTTTCGGTGTCATGTTGTGACTTTCCTCCTTATATAGTCAGCCTTTTAGGAGACATCAAGCCAAGATATATCCCTGAGACTCCATCACCTATTAAACCAATAGGCAGTCACAAAACCCCGGTCTGACAGAACCCCACTTTCCCAGTTTGGTACAAGGCATCCTGACTCTGAAAAAAATGGATCGTGTCAATGTCCAAGACCATTTGTGAGCTTCAACGGCTTTTCGATCACTCCTTTTTCTCCAAGAATGGGGGCCATCATGCCATACGTCCTACGTCGCATCGACATGGGACATTGAATCAGACACCACACCATCGAGGACAACATCTCAGATCTAGCCAGATCGGTAGCGGCAATGCCACCCCAAACCAGCATTGGCCGAAAGAGAGGGTCTCCCCTCCTTCCCTGGATGTCCAGTCATGACTCCTTTTTGCGTGGTGGATCATGACTACCAGGTGAGGTTATGCCATGAGCCAACAGAGGTTTGTTTCACTCACAGCCCAATACATCTCACCCATCCCATATATGGTACTACCACCAAAAAGGGGTCCAAAAAGGAACTGGTGCAGATCTGAACCAAAGACCTCTCTTGGAGTCATTGGAAGTCGCTCCGGCTTGGCCAGTCGTAAGCGCATC